CTTTACAGTCTAAAAAGCAGTAATATACTACATCACCATTCATATATCACCTTTGAGTTTACAAGTGTGACAGAGGTAATCAGACCAAAGTTACCATGGTTTTCAACCAAGCATGAAAGCTGCAGTGCAGTTGAACTTTGTAGTTAACAGGAAGGAAATGATCTGGCTGTTGTTTATAACTAGGAGGAGAGTAAAAACAAATGACAAACAAAAAAAAACATTGACTCGATTTAGCTTAGCTTAGCACAAACACTATAGCATTGTGTGTTAATTGAAGGACTTTTGAGTTTTAGCTTGCTGTCTAGCTTTGCGTAAGAGTACACCACAGAAGGGCAGTACAAGGGAAACAGCAAGCCTGGCTCTGTGCAAAAGTTGCCATCCAAAGCTCACTAATTAGGCAGCAAAAAACTGAAACAGCTAGCCTCTTTCCCCTTGTTTCCAATCTTTGTGCTAAACCAAACTAATCTGATGTCTGATGTTCTTAGCATATTGATATTGATTGTCTCTTCTGATTTTTGGCAAGAAAGTAGATAAGTGCTATATCTAAAAATGTGCTATATATCATTACATCATTGGATTGAAAACCATGGCAGTTTTGGTCTTATTTCATTAGGCAAAGCATATATTGGGAAATATTACTGAAGAAGAAGTGAGAGAATCACCGTCTCAGTGTAAGAGACTTTGGCAATTGGCCACATGACAAATCCAGTCTTAACACTTCGTGTATTTTAAGCCCAACATGAACTTAAAATTTTAAAACTGGATTTGGCAGAAGATAAACATAAAAAAGCTTAAAGATAAAATCTTATATTTTCACGTTTTCCATTACAGTATAGTGAATCACTGCTGCTCTGCGATACTGCCGCACTAAAAGTTAAGTTTGATTGCACAAGAGCAGAAACTATAGATGCATAAATTCTGTATGACCTAATGTGTTTACATGGCACTCGCCACCAGACTGTGAAAACTTAGCTCGGCCGTGTCTCTCCCTGCAGGACAATAAAGTTTCAATTGAACCAGACACTGCAACTTGACAAAAATACAGGCGCTGTTGGGAAAACTCAGTGTTTTAGTTTATTATTGAATTAAATGTTCAGCAGGTTCATATTTCATATAGCGGAGAGAGGGAGAGTGAGCAGTGCAAGATAAGAATAATAAATGTTTTCAAGGGCAACAGGAAAATCATGTTAAAACAAAAAGGTTCAGGCACAAAATAGGGAACTATGAAATAAACCTGGCATGAGCATTTGACAAAAATAAAGTCTGTGTGTCTCTAGATACAGGAGTCAAGTTGAACTGAGACTAGCACTGAAAGGTTTCCCACATCATTTTT